ACATATATGTATAAACAAGTAGCTCCATTGCAAACAGTTTCTTGTGGATGAGATTTCACATGGAATTATGCTACATGGTCTCAGAAATATTTTTGTTGCTTTCCTAAAGCCTTTTACTTACATCTCTTTAAAGAAACCAAACATAAGGACACTGTACTATGACATGCATTTGAAGATGATACTTCTTGATTTCTTTTATACTAAAGTGTCTGAACTGTAGGATAAGCATAGGTAATCTATATGGTACAGTAAACATACTTCCAGCATTCAAATGTAAGAGGCAAAGAGTAAGATCTTGTACTGAGAGGTTAAGGACAAAAATTCCTTCATAACAATAACATCTTGAGCTCTTACAGAATTCTCAGCTTTTAAATGATCCGCAGATTTTTTCAGCAAGATATTTTGAATAAATGATTGGTTTTCAAGTGTAGTCTTGCAATTGTTTGTTAGGTAATTCTAGGTAAAATTTCAGGACTTTACTACTGGCATAACAAGGACATATCAAATTGGCACTATGTTGAAGACACGTGTTGTCCTGATGGTAATAGAGTCTTTAAACACTTGTAAAAAAAATTTAAACAAATGTTTTGTGTGGGTAAGGAAAAGGCCCTCTGACCCTGCATGGCTTATAAGCTTGAAGGCATGTTAAAATATCTCACTGGATCTCTGAAAGGTATGTTTGTTTAAAAAAATTAAGCATCCTTAAACTTTACTCTAGATTTTAAAAAGTAGATTTATAAGATAAAAATAGACATAGTCAGAGAAAAGAAACAGGGACCTCATACCATGCACTAATATATTGTGAAGTTACAAAAAAAAAAATTCTAGATTAGAAATTGGCTTCACAACACATATTCAGAACTTCAAGTTCACTTCAAGTAGCGTGAGGATACCCTAGGGTGATAAATGTCATGAACATTCAGCAGATATAAAATTAACAAATTAGGTATCCAGTGAAGGGAACACTGCTAATACATTTTTCCTCTCTGATCTGTAACACTTTCTGTAAATATATGTTATTCATTTATGTAGAGTCACAAAGATTACTATAAGTACTAGACATAAAATTATGGCTGTGCTACTGAGCATATGCTTCCTGTGTCCTACTGACCTGCCAGCAAACTAGACCCTACTGTGCTGGTTTCAACAACAAAGCTGATTGACTAAGTGCCTTTACAACTAGCAACAAAATAAGAGACAAAGCCATAGTGACTTTCAGAGAACTGTCTGCCAGTCAAAAGCATATTTTCTGAGGCATTTTATGTGCTACATAATGAAAAAAAAAAAATGGATACAGGCGGTTAAAGTCACTGTTCTAAGTAAAATTCCACTCCAGAATCACAGTCACAAGTGAAGATTTCCTCTAGAATAAATTATCTCCCTCCTGAAGCTGTCATATTCTAGGCCAAAATCTATGAACTCTTTGCTTCCCTGCACTTACAACTTCAGCCATTTTGTTGCCAATGGAAAAATCTACTTTTAATTATTTCTTTATGAGCTTTTTGTTCCGGATGAATATCTCTGATGTAGAGGTTGCACTGAATCTAACCTTTCTGCAGTTACTGTCTTTTCTAGTTTTTTTGTCATTTTACCCTACCTCCTGCTCTTCCTCTCTATGCACTCTCTTCCCTTCTTTCTTTCTTTCTCTTTTCCTGCCCTTCTTTTCTAGGCAATGTAATGCATTTATTTGTGCTCTACAATTCTTCTTGTCAATCCAGAGCATAGCATTAACACTATCCTGTAGCTACTTATAATGTTGGGAGGTCTTCTGAGACACATTTTGGAACATGTTTTGAATCACTACCCTGTATCATCAAATCTCTTATCTTAAAACTGGTGAGAGCAGTTTCAAGTCTCTACAGATTTCCTAAGAAAGGACCAATATTCCTTTCTTCCAACCTTCAATCTCTCACCATGCTATTTTTTCCCCAAACTCTTGCCTTCCCTTTGATCCTTGCTTTTTTGTTGCCTTTACTTTTGGCAACTCATTTACAGGATGATTCATCTTTATCATCCTGATTCAAACTTCCATGGGATTTGAAGAAACATCTACTTTTAGCATCTCCTCATCATGCTGTTGAATAAACACTGGTATGATGCTACTTTTTCAGATGTAGTGACCACCTACATGACTTCAAACTACCCCTTAAGACCCTCATTGTTTCTGTTGCTAAGGCACACACCTGTCATTCATCAGTCCAAGCTAAAGAAGACCAAGTCTGGGAGAGGTGAAAGAGCACAAACACTAATCACCCCAAAGTAGGAATTTAAGTTAACTGCACTGACTAGGCTTTTGGATTAACTTGGCTCCCCTGACAAAGTCTTTCATCTGGGAATCCATTTACAATACTACAGCAAAGTTTAGTCATCTCACTTTTAATTTCAATTTAGCTTATTCCCTTCATTCTTTCTTCTCCTAATCCATGTTGTAAGATAAATTACAACAATCAATACAACAAGAATCAATACAAACTTACAGCTTGTGTTCTTCACAGCTGTAAGTGTGTATTGATTCTTAATACCTTTTTGGTCAGACCTTCTCATATTCTCTGCATACACAGCAAAAGGCTGCCAGCTTCTCCTTACACACCATTGTTAACAGGAGTCTCTCTTACACACTGTTTGCTTTCTCCAAACATGTATAATTGAGTCCAGGAGTATAAACTCAGCTGCATCCATTACAGAGGAATTGTATTTGTACACATAACATCAGCAAGTGCAGTATAATGCTAGCAAGATGCAGTATGTATTCTGAAACATGACACATCATCATCTCTATCTACTGCCTCTTGTTCTCTTTAAGACTAGACAGCAAATAAATCAAGAGCTTTTTCCAGAAAGTAAACTTCAAATGTACAATGTCCTAGGGGGTTTCTGTACTTTAAACATTTAAATAAAATTTGCTCAAATCATAATGACTTTATAGAATAATATACAATATATTATAGGTCAGCATATCCAAGACTGAAAATATTATCTCAACCTAAACAGAACTATTAGCATAGGGTTAGAAGATTTCAGTACTATGCGTGGAAAGAAATTTGCTCAATCATTCAGATTCCTTGTACTCATTCTGCAACTATGCCTTTTTCCCACCATTTTGCTCCCTGCCCCCAACCCTCTTCAAAATCTCAGATTAAAGATTTTTTCATCTCTTCCTTTATTGGCACAATAATGTGAATGAAATTTGCACTGGTTTTGGTGATAGTTAAAAGAGCCTTCTTTAATGGACTTCATCATGCATTATCTAGTGTTGTAAAAGCTGTATTTTTATTTAAGTACCTTAATGGGAGGTTCCAACATAGCATAAGAACATGCATAATTTCATAGAAGATGTATAAATACAGACACTACTATGAATTGTCCAATTAAGGGTCTAAATCTCTGTAGCACGCAGCATGATTTTAGCAGTCCTTAGTGAGTTATAATGTTTGCTGATGCACTACCATTCACCTTGCTCTACTTATGTACAGCTTGTCAAGAGTCAAGAAAACCCTATCTAGTGGATTACAGTAAATTTTCTATCTGAACTGTGACACCCTTAAGAAAGATCCCCATGCACACATAGCTGAGCTGCACAGGTATATTTGCTTTTCTTCGTTACCTTAGTCCTTTTAATATCCTGATGCTCAGGAATCTGAGAACACCTAAGCATGTATAAATTGCTATAAACATGCCAAAACCAATCTTCTACTTAGGGTTTCACCTGCACTACTTCAAATCAATCACTTTAGTAACTATACTAGATTTTTATAATGTTTAATTTCTATTACTGTTTTTTCATAAACATGTAGAGACATTAACATTGGTCAAGAAGCCACAATATTACAGCTATCTGAAGGTCTTATGTTTTAGATATCTTATTCCCCTTCTCTCAAACTGAAACTTACAAAAATATCAATCAATATTTGTTGAGGGATTAGGGATTTATAGAAGTTCAGTGTCTTCACAATAATGAAAAGAAGCAAAAAAGAAACAAGACATTACTGACAGTTACATGTTTCACCAGCATTTCTCAGACATGCATTTCTCTGCACATGCTGATTAGAAGGCTTTCATGTTAAAAAAAAAATTGTTGTAAACAAATGTGAAAGATTAGTCACTGTTTACACAGTATTTATGCACTGTACCAGTAGATCAGCACAATGTGTTACTATTTAACTATATAGATTATTTTAGAGCTGAGTGGGTGTTCAAGGACTACTTCTGAAGCTAAGACTTTCCCACATACAGTTTGGGAGTAGCTCAAAGCACTGAAAGACTCAGGATTAACAAACAGATGTGCTACTTATAAGCAAATTATTCAGAATCACTTTAAGTGTCTTCAGTAATAACATTTGAATAATATTGAATATAAACACATTTACTAATGAAAAAGTTGGAAAAGAAAACTAGGGGCACACAGCTTAGGCAATGGTTACACTTGAAATACTCTATATTTCAATTCTTATTGTAAAATGACAAATAGATAATTGATAAGTTAAAAACATGCAGTTGTGATTTCTCTTGGGATTCTTTTTCTTTTATAAAGAAACAATTTTAAATCTATACTGATAACACAAAAAGCAATCCAGTGTTATCTCACCTAGCTCAAAAATAGCCCTTCTTGTTTATAAATGTTTAATATAAACATGTTGCTTACACATATTATGAGAATGTTATTGCAAGATGCAAAAATATAATGATTACTTGCTGAAGTTCACAAAATTGCTACTTGAAGGAACAACAAAAGTACTCTTAGAAGCGTAGATGATTGGAATTTGTCCAGTTCCCTCAAGAAAAAGCAGTAGTTACTCTTATCTCTCAGCATACATTACACACATCTGCATAAACATATCCAAAACCACAATCGCCTGTAGCACCGACAAGTCTCGGTTAACACCTTTCTACTCCACCAGTAAATCAATTTAATTCCCTACTAAAGGATTTAAACATAACCAACAGAAACATATTAATAGACATAGAAATTAATACGACTCTAAAAACCTTCAGGCACTCACCAAAAGACTGAATGCAGGTTTCAAGAAGGTCTTCCAAAGTGGCTCCTTTGGCCAGGTGCCCCAACGGCACCATCATGACCTGAGTATGACTCGAGAGGCTGTGACAGTGGCTGCTCTGCTGCAGCTCCAGGGCTGATTCAGGGGCAGTGCTGCATGCTTGGGCAGGTTGCCTAGAAGAAAACACAACAGTGAAGTAAACACAAGATAGAGTGGCAAATTTTACACTGCATGGGAAATTTTACACTGCATGGGAAAGGAGGAGAGATTTAAAGGACAATTAACTCCTTCTAGTCAGGGTGCTGAAAGACATAAACCTCCCACTTGATATGTACACCAAAGGGACTGCTCAGTAAGTGACTTTTTTCCTGCAAAATGCCAGTTGCAGAGCACATGGTTATAGAGCTCTCTGAATGATCTGTCAGGGTTATCAAAAGTCTTGTCTCTTTGTTGGAGAGTATGCAATAACCTGCCATCAGATGTTTGTGTGTCCACCAAAAGTGAAGGAGAAAAAAAAAATTACACACATTGGAAAACACCGAACTAGCTTTATCAATTTATTTTGAAAAGTCACTGTTAAGTAAACAAAATATCAGCACAACCTAATAGTGGAATATTTCACAATCAAAACAAATATATTAATTTGCATCTATTCAATACAATTATTTCCTAGGTTGTTTTAAAATAGTATACATGAACAAATAAATGTATTTAATAACAATAGTAAATGAGACCAAAATAAAGCACATATCTAATTTTAGTCTTGTATTTTGCCCATATAATACCTGCTACTTCAAGAACATGTGTCCTTATGGATAATATTAAAGGCTATTTGTTGCTTGCACACAAGTTCATATTTCTGTATCAAATAGGAAATTGGAACAATATTGCATTAATGAAAAGTGATGAAATATATTTGCCTGCAAATACCAGGAACCACTGCAAAATCTGACTTGAGAGTATAACCATACAGCTCACAAAAGAACAACAAGCACTGCCATTTCGATGAAACTTGGGTTTAATTCAGGGACTCCTGAAATTTCAGGGATTCTTTGCGTTTATTTCAGACACTCCACAGCCTTCCTAAACAAGTGACTCCAGTGTCTTTAAGGTGCTATCTTAAGCTTTCACAGAACTTTTCTTGGAACACCATGCAAGACTCTAATAATCAGCTGACAGTCCCAGGAAGAAAAGGCATAGAAATTCCTCCAGTGTGTGTATTACATAGAGATAGGAGAAGTAAATTCACAGGCATCCCCGAATAGGCATTCCTGCATGAAGTTAAAAAAACGCATGCCTTATGGAGACAGACCGGACCCCTACCTCATCCGTGTGAAAGTCCAGCCTCATCCTTACCTTTCCGTCTCACTTGAATGCTGGGGAAGCCACGAAACTGACCACGGTGTCATTTACAACCCAACTATTTCAATAGTTTGGAATTCAGGAATATACATGCCTGACCCTTCAGAGGCAGTAATCATCACTGACTGAGCTCCTCCGTAGTTAAGCTGGCAGTAGCTGACATGCAAATGTTCTCTTCCCTTCCCCCTTTTTCTCAATTTCCCTCTTAGCTTTGTGATCTGACTTCCTGTTCTCATATAAAAAGAACAAGGGCCTGATCAGCTTTCAGTGTTTTCTTTCTACAAGCTTAAGCCCCTCTCCCATCTTTATTCCAGTGCCTCTTCAGGGCAGAGGATCCCAGCAAGTAGTAACAAAGAGTTAAGACAGAAGATATTTCAGGCTTTGGCAACATCCAGGAGAAAACCTAAGTTTCCACACCTGAAAAAAGTTTACAGTTATGCTGTGGCCGACTTGGCCATGCTGGACAGGCAAAGCTCAGCCGTGGCAATTCTGGTTATTCCTTAGAAAGGATCCTCTCGCAGCAGTCACCCGACACGACAAACAGACGCAAGCGGGACGAGGTGCAGCGGCGGTACCCGCCCTGCATTTCCACATACGCCCTCGGCGGCGGGGAGGGCATCACAAACAAGTGACCGTCTCTCGCTGCCCGACCTCGGAGCAGGTGCCGCCGGCAGCCGAGCCCGGGCGGGCGCCGTGCCGCCCCTCCCGCTCCGCGACACCGCAACGCGAGGCTCCGCCACCCGCGCCGACCCGCCTGCCCGGCCACACTGGCATCCCAAGGGCTGAAACAAATCCTCTCCGCACACCCCCTCCCGCGCTTCTCTCCTCTCCCTGTCCCGCTCGGGAGAGCCCCGGCCGGCCCCCGCGGTACCACCCCCGTGTCCCACGGAAGCCCCCGCCGTCCCAGCGGGCACCGCACGCTGTCAGGCGTGACACCGAGCTGCGCCGCGGGGAGGGGAGCCATGGGGGCATAAAGCAGCACGGCAAACTCACTGGTGTTCTCTCCTCTTGCCTAAGGTCCCCATGCCGGCTCCAGCCGCAGCTCCGCCGCCCGGCTGGCGCTGCGCGGGGCGGAGGAGGCCGGGCGGAGCGGCGCGGCTCCGAGCATCGCCTCCTCCCTCCCGCCTCGCCGCGCTCCCGCTCCCGTCTCGCCTCGGGAGGAGCCTGAAACCGATTCAAGTAGGGCAGCGACGGCGGCGGCGGCCGCCACCCGTGACGAGCGCTGGCGGAGATGTTATCGCCAGGAGGAAGTACTGAGCTGGGGCTGCGCTTCTCTGAAGCCGCCGGCTTTACGAGGTACTCGCAGCGCTCTCACCGCCCAGCTCTGAAGCCGCCACAACTTTTCTTTCCACGGCACCACCTCGGCCCGGCAGGGCAGGACCTGCCCTCTGCTTCTCCCGAGCAGGCTGCTTCCGAGCCGCCGGCGCTCACGCGTGGCCGAGCCGCGCCGGCGGAGCTCGCCCGGCCGCGGCTGGAGCGAGGGGCGAGCGGCCGGGCCGGCCCCTCCGCAGCCTCCCCGTGGGTGGCGTGGGCCCGGCTCACGGGGGGTGCCCGGCTCACGGGGGGTGCCCGGCCCACGGGGGGTGCCCGGCTCACGGGGG